TCAGAGCAGTCGGTGGTGGTAGCCAGGCACCATCTAGGTGTACTGGACTCAGTCTGGTGGAGGCCATGGTAGTTGTGGTCTGTTAGTTGTTTGGACTGATCTGTTCCTTGTGTCTTTGGTTTTCTTCGTTCTCCTTTGCTCCCACGCGGTTGGACCAGTGGAGTATCTGGGATGGCTGCTCATAAGCTTTTAAGACCCCAGATGCTACTCACCAAAGTAGAGTGTTTTCTTTATGAACTGTGTTATGCCAGTTGACCTAAATGTCCTGTGAGACCATGGTCCCCAGCCCTAAACCCAGTGATTCATTTCCTCAGGGTGTTTGAATGTGTCTACAAAGCTTCCATGATCTTGCCTTGGTCAAGTTGTGCTGGCTTCTCCAGTATTGTGTACTGTCTTATTCTTCACCAAAGTTACCACCTATCGATTGTCTTATTTAGTGTTTTTCCCTCCCCACCCCTCTCGTAACCATCAAAGATTGTTTCTATGTGGAAACATTTTCTTGTGTTTTTGTAATAGTTAACTTATTCAGTATTTGTCCTTTCGTGATTGTTTCACTCAGCATAATGCTCTCCGGATTCATCTGTGCTGTGAGATGTTGCGTGGATTCATCATTGTTGTTTATTGTATAGTATTCCATTGTGTTGTATGTACCATAATTTGTTTATTCATTTATTTGCTGATAAAAATTTAGGTTGTTTCCATTTTTTTGATGTTGTGAATAATGCTGCAGTGAACATGGGTGTGCATATGTCTGTTCGTGTGACCACTCTTATTTCTCTAGGGTATATTCCTAGGAGTGAGATCACTGGATCATATGGTATTTCTCTTTCTAGCTTTTTAAGGACATGCCGTATCGTTTTCCAAAATGGTTGTACTGTTTTACATTCCCACCAGCAGTGTGTAAGAATTCCATTCTCCTTGCAGCCTCTCCCAACATTTGTTATTTTCTGGTTTTTTTTTTTTTTTGATTCGTGCTAGTAATGTCCAGGTGAGATGGTATCTTATCATGGTTTTGATTTGCATTTCTCTGATGGCTAGTGATAGTGAGCATTTCTTCACGTGTCTGTTAGCGACCCAAATGTCTTCTTTGGTAAAGTATTTTTTCACATCTTTCACCCATTTTTCAATTGGCTTATTTATGTTTTTGTTGTACAGGTTTTGGCTTTTTCTGTAGATTTCAGAGATTAGATGTTTGTTGGATTTTTCATAATTAAAATTTTTTTCCTAGTCTGTAAGTTCTCTTTTTACTCTTCTGGTGAAGTCTTTTGATGAGTGTGTTTAATTTTTAGAAGATCGCATTTATCTAGCTTATTTTCTGGTGTTTGTGTATTGTTAGTTATGGTCTGTATGCTATTTATGCCATGTATTACGGTCTCTAGCATTGACCCTTTTTTTTGTTCTATGATCTTTATAGTTTTATATTTAGGTCTTTGATCCATTTTGAATTAAGTTTTTGCGTATGGTATGAGTTATGGGTTCTGTTTCATTTTTTTAACAGACATCTGGTTTTGTCAGCACCGTTTGTTTAAAAACCCTGTCTTTTCCCCATTTAATGGACTTCAGGGCTTTGTCAAAGATCAGGTGACTGTAGGTGGATGGATTTACATCTGGGTTCTCAATTCTGTTCCAATGATCAGCATGTCTGTCCTTATACTAGTGTCATGCTGTTTGACTACTATAGCTGTATAGTAGGTTCTGAGGTTAGGTAGTGCAAGTCCTCCTACTTTCTTTTTCATCAGTAGTGTTTTACTTATTCAGGGCCTCTTTCCTTTGAATATAAAACTAATGTTTAGTTTTTCCATGTTGTTAAGGAATTCTCTTAAGGAATCCTCTTCGCATTTGGATCAGGATTGCATTGTATTTGTAGATTGCTTTGGGTAGAATTGATATTTTCAGTGTTGAGTCTACTTACCCATAAACATGGTGTGTTTTTCCATTTATGTAGGTCTTTGTTGAGTTTCTTGCATTAGTGTTTTCTAGTTTACTTTGTATAGATATTTTACGTCTCTGGGTAGGTTTATTCCTAAGTATTTTATTTTTTTAGGGGCTGTTATAAATAGTATTGTTTTCGTGATTTCTTTTTCGTAGTACTCTTTATTGGCGTATAGGAATGGAACTGATTTTTGTATGTTTATCTTGTTTCCTGCTACTCTGTGAATCTTTGTTAGTCACAGTAGTTATTTTATGGACTCTTTGGGGTTCTCTATGTATAGTATCATATCATCCACAAATAGGGATAATTTTACTTTTTCTTTACCAATTTGGATGTGCTGTATTTCTTTTTCTTGCCTTATTGTTCTAGGTAGGACTCCCAGGACAGTATTAGTGGCAATAAGGAGCATTCTTGTCTTGTTTCTATTCTCGGGGAATGTTTTCATCCTCTCTCCATTTAAGGATGATGTTGGCTGTTGGTTTTGTGTAGATGTCTTTTATTACTTTGAGGAATTTTTTTCTATACTTATATTATTGAGAGTTTTTATTAGGAAAGGGTGTTTGTATCAGATGCCTTTTTTGCATCAACTGAGATGATCATAAGATTGTTTTATTTATGTATCGGATTACGTTGATTGATTTTCTAATGTTGAACCATCCTTGTATACCTAGTATGAATCCCACTTGGTGTCTTAGTTTTTTTATATGATGCTGAATTCTATTGGCTAGAATTTTATTGAGAATTTTTGCATCTGTATTCATGAGAGATACTGGTCTGTAATTTTTTTGTGATGTCTTTGCCTGCTTTTGGTATCAGGGTTATGCTGGCTTCATAGAATGAATTTAGAAGTATCCTTTCCTTTTATATGTTCTGAAATAGTTGGAGTAGTATGGGTGCAAACTCTTCTCTGAATGTTTGGCAGAATTCTCCAGTGAAGCCATCTGGGCCAGGGTTTTTTTTTTTTTTCTTTTGGTGGGGGGGGGTTTTTTTTTTAAAATAACCTTTTCAGTCTCTTGTTACAGGTCTGTTCAAATTTTTGACCTCAGTTTGTGTTAGTTTATGTAGGTTGTGTGTTTCTAGAAATTTGTCAGTTTTCTCTAGGTTTTCAAATCTGTTGGAGTATAGTTTTTCGTAGTGCTGTGTTATGATCCTTTTTCTTCCATTTGGGTCTGTTGTAATGTCACCCGTTTCATTTCTTATTTGGGTTATTTGCTTCTTCTCCTGTTTTTCTCTTGTCAGTTTGTTCGATGGTTTGATTTTCTTGATCCTTTCAAAGATTTTGTTGAGGGTTGCTTTGTGGCTTAAGATGTGGTCTATTCTTGAGAACGTTTCATGTGCATTGGAAAAGAATGTGTACTTTGCTGCTGTTGGGTGAAGTGTTCTGTATACGTCTCTAAGGTCAAGTTGGTTGATTGTGGCCTTTAGATCGTCTGTATCTTTGTTGAGTTTCTTTCTGGATGTTCTGTCCTTTACCGAGAGTAGTGTGTTGAAGTCTCCTATTATTGTGTAGCTGTCATTGTCTCTTTTCAGTGCTGTTAGAGTGTTTTATATATTTTGGAATCCTGTCATTGGATGCGTAGGTGTTTATTATAGTTGTGTTCTCTTTTTTGATTGTTCTTTTAATTATCATATAATGTCTTTTCTTGTGTTTTTTGGGGGACTTTGCTTTAAGGTATTTTATTTGAGATTAGTATTGCCATTCCTGCTCTTTTTCGGTTGGTATTTGCTTGATATATTTTTTCATCCCTTGATTTTTAATATATTTATATCTTTGTTTTTAAAGTGTGTTTCTTGTAGACAGCATGTTGATAAGTGCTGTTTTGTTATCTATTCTGTCGCTGTTTCTTTACAGTTACATTTAAATCGTTTACTTTCTGTATGACTATCGATAGGTGTGAGTTTATTGCTGTCATTTTGTAGTGCTTTTTTTTTTGTGATGCTGATGTTGTATTTCTCTTACTGTTCTGTGCTGAATTCTTTTTGTTTGTGGATTTTTTTCATTTTTTTTGTTTTTGTAAATTTTATGTTTACTGAGACTTTATGTTTTTCTTGTCTATTTTGATGAGTAGGTTTGTTAACTTTCTTTGTGGTTACTTTGAAATATACCCCATGTTCCTAAGTTTGAACTAGTCTTTTATTACTTGATATCCCCTTGACTTCCTTGCCATTTAAGAATTATACCTATACTGTTTATTTTCTCTTTTATTGTTCTGATGTTGTTGTGATTTACAGATTAATCTCTCTGGTTCACTGTTCTAAATCTTTTAGTTTGTCAGCCTTTTTAAGGTTGGCCTTTTAGGTGGATAGTCAGAAAAGCTGGAGTGTATGAAGAAAAATGTGGCATCAGAATTGGAGGAAGACTAATTAACAACCTGGGATATGCAGATGACACAATCTTGCTTGCTGAAAGTGAGGAGGACTTGAAGCACTTACTGAGGAAGGTTAAAGACTACAGCTTTCAGTATGGATTACACTTCAACATAAAGGTAACAGAAATCCTCACAACTGGATTAGTAAGCAACATCATGATAAATGGAGAAAATACTGACGTTGTTAAGGATTTCATTTTACTTTGATCCACAGTCAGTGCCCATGGAACCGCAGTCAAGAAGTCAAAGGATGTATTGCATTGGGCAAGTCTGCTGCAAGAGACTTTTGTAAAGTATTTTAAAGTAAAGGTGTCGCTTTGAGGACTAAGGTGCCTCTGACTCAAACCATAGTACTTTCACTCACCTCATTGTATGCGAAAGCTGGACAATGAATAAGACTTAAGAAGAATTGATGGTTTTGAATTACGGTGTTGGTGAAGAATATTAAATATACCATGGACTGTCAGAAGAATGAACAAATCTACCTTGGAAGAAGTACAGCCAAAATGTGTCTTAGAAGTGAGGATAGCGAGACTTCGTCTCACGTGCTTTGGACATGTTATCAGGAGTACCATCCTTGGAGAAGGACATCATGCTTTATAAAGTAGAGGGTCAGTGGAAAAGAGGAAGACCCTCAACAAGATGAATTGACACAGTGGCTGCAATAATCGGCTGAAGCAGTGATTGTGAGAATGGCACAGGAGCAGGGCAGTGTTTTGTTTTGTTGTACATAGGGTCGCTCTGAGTCAGAAGCGACTCGATGGCACCTAACAACAGTAAAATACTGGTATTTTATTATAGTTTTAACTTAGTTTCTCTGATAACTAATGACGTTAAACACCTTTTCATTTATTTAATTGGCTTTCCATATGTCTACTTTGGTGAAGTGTCTATTCAAATGTTTTGCTCATTTTTAATTGGATTTTTGATCTTATTACTGAGCTGTAACAGATCTTTATATATTCTGGATGAAATTCTTTTTTGATTATATGGTGAATGTTTTCTATTATTTTCGGTTTTTTATTTGCTTAAAAGTGTCTTTCAAACAGTGGAAGGTTTTAATTTTGATGAATAGCAGTTTGTCAAGTTTTTCTTTCATGGTACCTGCTTTTTAAATCTTGAGACATTTTTGCCATACATGGCAGCATGGCAGTGAAATTTTGTATCCTGTTTTTATTTTTAGACATTTAATTTTCCATATAGGTTTAAAATTCATTTTGAGTTTTTGTGAATGGTATGAGGTAATGTTAAGGTTCATCTATTTGCTCCAGCACCATTTTGTTGGTAAGACTTTCGTTTATTCATTGAATTACCTTGGCATCTTTGTTGAAGATCAAATGACCATAAGTGTTGTGATTTATTTCTGGATTCTCTATTTTTTTCCCTTGATTTATATGTTTCTCTTACAAAAGAGCACTCTATGTTTCTGTAGTTTTATAGTAAGTCATGGAATAAGGTAGCATAAATACTACATCCTTTGTTTTCAACATTGTTTTGTCTATTCTGTGAACTTTGAATCAGCTTGTCAATTTTAACAAGAAAGCCTGCTGCAATTTTGTTTTGAATAAATTTGGGGAGAATAACTATCACAACAGTATTGAGTGTTTGAATCCATGAACATGACATACCTCTCCATTTATTTACATCTACGTTAATTTTTCAGCAGTGTTTTGTAGTAGTTAAAATGTTAGTCTTACACATATATTGTTAAATTTGTTTTTAAGCATTTCATGCTTTTGATGCTGTTGTAAATGGAGTTGTTACTAGCGTATAGAAACACAACTGAATTTTTTTGTATTGATATTGTATCCAACGTCCCTGCAAAACTCACTTGTTAGCCCTAGTCACCTTATTTTAGATTCTTTAATATTTGATATGTATGTTGTCATTTCATGTGCAAGTAAAGGCTGTTTTACTTCTTTAGAACTTTCTAATCTGCACACCTTTTCTTTTTCTTGCGTTATTGCACTATTTAGGACCTTGTAAAAATGGCATGGGGGCAGTGTCTGACTTCCTCCAGCCCCACAAGCTGGAGGGAGAACCAAGATCAGCAGTTCAAAGGCTGAATCCTGTGAGGTGGGGGTCAGACAGTGCCTCCTCGCTCCACCATCTTTACTAATTCTGACACCAGCCGTCCCTCCCACACCACTCTTTACTTCTCTGCTGGGTTGGATAATTCATTGCAGTGGCCACACGCAACTTAGAAACAATACTCATGATAATGGAGTTTATAAGGGAAATAACAGTTGCGATTCGGGCTCAGGAACACTGAGGATACAGTTCATTTCTTCCATCAGGACAGCCTCTTCCCAACTGGGCTCACAGGCACGCGTCTCTCCGAAGGCACTCTGCTTTCTCTCTCTGTGGGCTGGGAAGCACACTGCACTGTCTCCTGCTAGGTCTCTGCTGCTGGGTCTTTCCTGCTGGTCTCTTCCTTGGTGGTGGTGGCCTCCTCCTTTCTGCTCTGGAATTGGCTCTTTTTTTAAGACAAAACTGACTAATCCACTTAGTAGATCACAGTTATCCTATCACGCAGTCACCTGGGTGGGAGTTACAAGACCATAGCTAGAAAGGCCGCACAAAAGTAATCAGTAATCAGTCGCACTGCAGGCCACCACCCCCCCCATCCCTTGGCGTTTCTAGCCATGGTTGTTTCATATTTGGAGCTTTATTTTCTGCTCTCGATCATTTTACCAGTCCAAAACAGTTTTCAGCAATTAGTCCTTCAATAGGGCAAAGTGTCCGTGGGGTAAGGTTGCTCATAAACCAGCCATTCAGTGTTGCTGCAGGTGTCCATCTGATTTGGTCAGGCTCTTCAGCAGTTCATCTCATCTTCACTTTTTGTGGCTTTTGATTTAAAATTTAACTGAGAGGATTATTCCCTTGTTCTGAGCCTCACATGGCTACTGTACTCTTTTCCACCACTGTACTCCATTCCATTAGTTCAGTCTTTCACACTTACAGCTTCTACAATTACAGTTTTTACAGTCACAATTAATGCTTTTTATCAGCACTTACAGCTGAATCATGTAATCCTGTCAGCATCTTCCCCCACCATCTTTTCCCCAGACTCATCAGGAAAAGAGGGATCTGTTCAGTGGGGATTCTCCCTTGTCCTCATTTAATGTAAGCACACTCGTGAAAGCATGTAAGCCAGCTACTTCATCATGCCTTTATCTCCTCCCGTTTAGATAGCCAGTGTTTAAATTGTCCATTCCTCTCAAACCAGTACTCTGAGGAGACAAGCACGTTTCTTGGTCTTGACGAATCTTCAGTTCCAGTTGAAACTTCGAACATCTACATCTATAAGCAAAGTCCAGTGTAGAGCAAGCCTTCAAATTGCAGCAATCTGTACCAGTTCACGGTGTCAATCATCAGTCTCTTCATTTGGTTGGATTCTGTTCCTAGTTTACTGAGAGTTTTTTTTTAAGTCATGAACGGGTGTTTTATTACGAACAGGTATTTTTTTCTACATCTGTTGAAATAAGTGTGTTTTTTTAAGTATGTTAATGTTTTTAATTACTTTTGTTTTGTTTTTTGAATACTAAACCAAGCTTGCATTCTGGGGATAAATCCTACTTACACTGGTATTTCCTTTTATATATTGCTGAATTTGATCTGCTAATATTTTGTTAAGAATTTTTTGCATCTATACACATGAGGGCTTGTAGTCTGTCTTGTTTGGTATCAGGATTATGCTGGCTTCCTTAAATGAATTAAGAAGTTTTCTTTCTTCCTCCATTTCCTAAAAGAGTTTTTGGGAGACTGGTATTATATTTTCTTTAGATGTTTGGAAGAATTCACCAGTGAAGCCATCAGTAATAATTTTGTCTGCTGTAATTGATGGTGGTGGTAAAGGTATCCCAGTGGTGGTCTCACAGATGGTTTCATAGAACTGAACATTTGATCCAGGTAAGAGACAAGGAGGGAGGTTGTTTCCAGGCTGAGGTTAAAAAAAAATAAAGTTATAGAGCGTGACCATTTGGGGAATGGCCTGCAGTCCAGGTTAATGACAACATAGGTTAATGAGTGGTAGAGGGAGATAGGTTAGTCAGGACCAGGTTTGGGAACAATATGAGGTTCAAGTTGTTTTACTCTTGGTTAGACAGAAGCAATGGGATGATTAGGATGTTCAGTATATGACATTTAATGATAATTGGTTACAGCTCTAACATTTTAGTTTTGATTTTATTCACGAAGGTAAGAGTGATATTTCAGGATTGATTATTATAAAAGAACTATCAAAATTTGATTTTTACAGTATCACTTTATAAAAACTGAAAAATGTATAAAACAAGTAATCAATAAGTAGTTTATAGAATTGAGGAATGAGTTTTGATATAAGAATGAATACGTACTAAGATTTTTAACTATCAGATTTGCATTTAATCGGTTATATACTGTGACTCAAGTAGCTAAATTTTAATTCTTATTCTGATACTGACACAAAGCTGGTGTTAAAATAGATTTTAAAATAACTAGTTCTGTTTAGATTGTGAACCCATGAAAAACAGTTTGACTTTAGATTATTGAATTAAAAAAAAAAGTTTTTCCTATATTTCAATAAAATTGAATTAAAAGCTGAAATTTGCAAGCCCCTTTTAGTTTTTCAAGGAGAGCCTTATTTATGTGTGTGTATGTGTCTTTTAAAGTTCAAGCTTTTAAGACTTAATTTGTTAAAATAAAAAGAACGTTTGGCAGTTTGTATTTTTTTCCTATGGAAGAAGTGTTCGTTTTCCAAATAGAAACACAGTCACAGTATGACAATGATATTGCTGAATCAGATTCAAAAGACTGGTGTTTCTGTGGAGAAATTATCATTTTCATTTGGTGAAGCAGATTTAGTTGGAGATTGGTAGAATTACCAAATCATGCAGTTCTAAATTATTGGATAAGCATCATAATTTGATCTTGGCCAATCTGGGGTGAGGAAGCGGGGTGGCTTTTCCCAAAATTCCCTTTTCTACCTGAATGCCCTGACACTGTGGTCTAAGCTAGAATGTAGCAGTGCTGAATTTGAAATTAAAGAGAGAACAAATATTCTTTTTTAAAAAAAAATTGTTATTGTTGAGAATATACATAGCAGACTATATACCACTTCAACAATTTCTGCATGTACAACTCAGTGGCATTTATTACATTCTTCAAGTTGTGCATCCATTTTTAATCTCCTTTTCTGATTTGTTTCTTCCCCACTAACAGAAACTCACTGCACCCTTAGGTTTTTGTCTGATCTTTCAAGTTGCTGTTGTTAGTTTGATTCCGTATAGATATTTCTTAAAAGAGCAGAGTGCTAAAAACAGATACTCTTTACTAGTTAAGCTAAATTATTGTATGGTTTTGACAAGACTTCAGAGGATATTTTTGATTTAAGCCTTAAAGATTATCTCAGGGCAGTAGTTTTGGGGGTTTATCCAGCTTCAGTGGCTCCAGAAAATATTCGGCTAATCCATTGGATAGTAATTACCAGTGGTCTGTTGTTAATATGAATTGACAGTGATCAATTTTATATTCATTTTTGGCATTTTATGTTCGTTTTTATTTCATTATTTAAAAGATCGGTAGTGGAAACTACAACTCTAAGATCATCGTATATAAATATGAACATGGCAATGCAAAGCCATTAACAATACGTTGACAGTTTTGTGTTTTAGGTAACAACAGTACAAAGGATGTTTATAGCTATTTTATCAAAACTGATAAATTCAGTAGGATGTGTGTGCTAGATAAATATAAGGAGTATCGTGAGATAAATGAAAGGAAAATGGCACCTAGGAAACAAATTTTTGAATCTTGGAGTACATAGAATATTACTGAAAATTTGAATAGTACTCCCCCCAGCCCCAAATGGATCAGTGACATTAGAAATACTCAGTTGGCTAACATTGTTTTTATTAGCAAAATAAAACCACTAATTTTTAAAAAGATTATTTTTCCATAATTCAGCGCATATTTGTGGTGCTGCTATATGCCAGGCATTATATTGAATGCTGTAGTTTCAAAATAATGAAATGTATATTTAATACTCTTAGAACAGTTACTAACCCATCTCCCTCGCTCCTTTTCCTTTTTTTAAGGAATTGCAATTTGTGAGAGGAACAAAGAAGAATTTTCTGCAAGGATCATATTTAAGTGCACTTTTTGCTGATATTTCATTTCTAGTAAGACATTTTCTGTTTTGCTGTGTTGTGACGTAAATAAACACAGTGGAAATATTTAAAAATCTGATTTTCTCGTAAGCTTAAATGGTGGTAGTTTTGGAGTTTATTTTTGGAAATTAATGTGGACCAATTAAGGAAATTTATAAAATTCACTTGCAGTGCATAACATCATGCAGTGGCCATTTTTCCTGTATTTTGTGTGACACTGCTGAAATAATCTCAGACCTTTTCATCTTTACCACTTCTTCCATATTCTGTATCAGTTTTTCTTTTTAAACTTTTTTTATTGTGCATTAGGTGAAAGTTTAGAGCAAATTAGTTTCCCATTCAATAGTTTGTATATAAAGTATTGCATGACATTGATTTCATTCCCCACAGTGTATCAACACTCTCCCCATTTCTGTCCTAGGTTCCCTGTTTCCCTTCTGTCCTAATTTTCTACCCCTTTTTGCCTTCTCTCTCATCTTTGCTTTTGGGCAAATACTTCTGTATCAGTTAACCTTTATTTGAAAAAAGAAAAAAATTGAGAGTAGGTAGTGGGAATTTGCTGTGGGCACAAATAGGAGTAAGGGAAAATTGGAGGCCATGGGTTACATAAGCTGAGGAAGGATTTTTCTAGTGAAAGTTGAAGTAGACAAATCTATCCGTGTTTCTTGAAAGGTGGTAGGAAGGGTTAAAGAGAAAAGTAAAGCAAACTTTAGGGGACCTTGTCCAAATGTGGACTTTTTTGAGACTTTAGGCCTTAAACCGTGGGCCCATATTTGCAAAACTCTGGAATATTTTGATAAAAAATTACATTGGCCTCGGTTAACATTCCCAATATATGAAAAAGATACATAGACTTACTGAACAGTTTTCATGAGCGAAGCCTCATGGATTTCACTGTCTATTCAAAACTGAAATGATTTATACTTTGTTGTTAATTGCCATCAAGTCCGTTACGACTCATGGTGACCCCATGCACGGTAGTTCCCTATTGCCCAATCCTGTGCCATCTGCACGATCATTGGTATTCTCAAGTCCATTGTTGTGGTCACCGTGTATTTTGAGTCTATTTCAACCTAAGGGATTCATCTTCCAGCACTATATTGGGCAGTATTCTGTTGTGATTCATAGAGTTTTCACTGGCTAATTTCTGAAAGTGGATCACGAGGCCTTTCTTCCTAGTTTCTCTTTATCTGGAAACTCTGCTGAAACCCATCTACCATGGGTGACCCAGCTGGTATTTGAAATATCAGTGGCATAGTTGCCAGCATCATAGCAACACACAAGCCACCACAGTATGACAAACTGACAGGGTTTAAAAATAATGTAATTTGAAAAATGTTGGTAGGGGATATTCCTCAGAATGTTATAATAAGTTAACAGTATTTTATATATCAGTTACTATCAATCAAGCTTAATGATTATATTAGTAAAAAATTTGGTATTTTTAAAAAATAACTTTTTGTTTCAAGAGTAGTTTCGTTATTTAATATAAGATCTAAATTTTTCTTTGTATAAGTAAATGTTGTTGTTAGGTGCTACCAAGTCATTCCCGACTCATAGCGACCCTGTGTATAACAGAACGAAACACTGCCTGGTCCTGTGCCATCTTCACGATTATTGCCGTGCTTGAGGTCATTGTTGCAGCTACTGTGTCAATCCATATCATAATGAAATAATAGAAAGAAATTATTTTTATGAACCTACAAAATGAGTTACTTAAAATATTCTATTCTGATATCAGTTTTATGTGGTTATTTTCTTGTTATAACTTGATTGAAAGACAACTCATTTAATTATATCCCTTATTTTGAGGAACTAGGAGAAAAAATTGTTTTTCCAACTGAAGGAGTCTTTAGTCCAAAATTTGTGTATGTATAGGTGGGATAGGAATAGAAGTTTAAATCTCATGTTTAAATATAAAAAACTTGGTTAGTCATCTGTAAATCTTTAAGTTTTTATTTTTTCTCAACATTATTTCTCACGTTTCTTCTTTGCACACCAGCTGCTCAACAGTGAGTGATTTGAATTAAAACACTATAAGATTTGACCGTTCTCATGCCCATAGCTCAAAGCTCTACACCTTTTCTGAACCTCAGTGATGGCTGTGAGTATAATTTTAGCTGTTATCTTTTGGAACACGATAAGCTTTAGGGAATTCCCTGTGATGCTTCCTCCACCAGGCTCTAAGGATGAAAAAAAACAAACCCACTGCCATCGAGTCAATTTCCTACTCATAGTGACCCTGTAGGACAAAGTAGAACTGCCCCATAGAGTTTCCAAGGAGCGCCTGGTGGATTTGTACTGCAGACCTTTTGGTTAGCAGCAACAGCTCTTAACCACTACGCCACCAGGGTTTCCCTAAGGATGTAGGCAATGTCTTACTCTTCATGGCAGGCTTTTTATAGCTGTATGGATTGTGTTTGAGTTAATAGCTACTTGCTGAGAGTTCCTCTGAGTATTTCTTAGATGGGGAATGCTTTTTTTTTTGAGTAGATTGTTATGTTGATTTAAGAGTCTCAGATTAGGGATTTTCCTTCTACATCTGTCCTAATTTGGTTTAGAAATTGGAGAGTTTGGCACAAGGAATTGGGCAAAATATTCTCTAATTTTTTTTTTTTTTTATGTTTTGGAACTGCTTTAGGCTTTTAAATTTTGATCTTTTATATATGGCGTGAGGTAAGGATTGAGGTGTATTTCTTTGTATGCGGATATCAAATTGTTAGCAGCATTTTTTAAAAGGTTTTACTTTTTCCTCTTGAATTACCTTGGCACATTTGTTGAAAATCACTTAACCTTTGTGTCAGTCTATTTCTGAACTCCGTTCTGTTTTGTTGATCTATATATCTATTCTTTTATTGTGCCGTCTTGATTACTTTAGCCTTGTAAAAACCAGTTGCTGTTGAGTCAGCTCTGACTCATGACCCCATGTGTGTTTATTGTAGAACTCTGCTCCGCAGGGTTTTCAGTGCCTGAACTTTTGGAAGTAGATCGCCAGGCCATTCTTGCAAGGCATGTCTGGACTTGAATATCCTAGTCTTAAAGTAGTGTAAGTCCTCCAGTGTTGTTGTTATTCTGTTTCAAAGTTGTTTTGACATAGGTACTTTACTTGTCTTGCTATATATTTTAGAAGCAGCTTGTGAGTTTACAAAAAAGTCTAATGAGATTTTTAAAAATTATTTTATCGTGTTTCAGTGAAGGTTTACACAGCAGCTTAGGTTCGCTTTCAACAGTTTATACACAAGTTGTTCAGTGATATTGGTTATGTTCTTTAAAATGTGTGAATATTCTAATTATGTCTGTTCTGGTTGTTCATTTTAATCTAGTTTCCTAGCGCCCTTACATTCTCATCTTTGTTTTAAAGTAATTGTTGATCACTTGGTCTCATATAGGTGATTTTTTAAAAGAGCACAGTACTTAATGGGTGATAGTCATTATCTTTGGAGCCAGTTTGTTTTTTAGCTGCAAGGTGACCTCGGCCTAGTTTTGGTTCAAGGTTTGAAGAGTATGTCAGAGCAGTAGTCTGAGGGAGTTCCCCAGTCTAAACCAGTCTAGTCCAGTAGGTCTTTTTTTTTAAAAGGAATTTTAGGTTCTGTTCCACATTTTTCCCCCATTCTATCACCGTTTATTGTGGCCCTGATTAGAACAGTTGGTAGTTGTCTCTGGGCACCATCTAGTTCTTTTGGTCCCAGGGTAGATGAGGCTATGATTCATGTAGACTGTCCTGTGGACTAGATTCTTCTTTGAGTCTTTGGTTTCCTTCTTTCTCTTTTGCTCGGATGAATAGAGACCAATAGTTGTATCTTAGATGGCTGCTCACAAGCTTATGAAACCCGACAGTATTTGCCAAACTAGGATGTAGAACATAACTTTATGAACTGTATTATACCAGTTGACCAAGATGTCTCATGAGACTATGGTCCTAATCTTTCAAATCCAGAAATCCAATACCGTGAGGTATTTGGTTATGTCTAAGAAGTATCTGTAACTGTACCCACACGTGCTTTATTATATTTATGAATATATGTGTATACGGTCACATAGACGCATATACATATACCTGTATATACACACATGGATGCATACCTGTACGCATATTGAAAGAGCCCTGGTGGCGAAGTAGTTAAGCATTTGGCTGTTAACCCAAAGGTCAGCGGTTCAAAGCTACCAGCCACTCTGTGGGAGAAAGATGTGACAGTGTGGTTCCATAAAGATTTACAGGCTTGGAAACTCTATGGGGGCACTTCTCCTCTGTCCAATAGGGTTATGAGTTGGAATCAACTCGATGGCAGTGGATGTTTTTATACACACATTATGCCTAAGTACATATGTATATACCTGCACATACATTTTTTGGTTGTTTCTGCTGTTGTTTAGAAATTGTATATGTCATAGCAGTTACCAATAGGTCCTTTTCCTTTTGTACTTTAGTGTTATCATTTACGTTTGTCAAGCTGTGTACACTTCACTCTTATTCGGTGTTACGTTTCCTGTCACTAAAAATAAGTGTCTACTATGTAGAGAGAGAATCCCCTTTTCCCCACACCCCCATCCCTAGTAACCACTAATGAACATTATTTTCTGTATATTTACTTGTTCCTGTCATTTCATAAAAGTGTGAACGTACGATACTTGTTTTTTTGTGATTAACTTACTTTGCTCAACATAATGTCTTCTAGGTTCATCCATGATTCACGATGTTTTGGGAACTCATTTTTGTTTATTGCTGAGTAATATTCTGTTGTGCTTATGTACCACGTTTTACTCATCCATTCATTAGTTGATGGCCGCTTAGATTGTTTACATCTTTTTGTTGTTATGAATAGTGCTGCAGTGAACATAGGTGTGCATACATATATTTGTGTCACTTCTATTAGATCCCTAGGGTATCTACCTAGGAGTGGAATTGCCGGGTCATTTGGCAGCTCTACCTCTCGTTTTTTGAGGAACCACCAGACTGTTTTCCACAACGGCTGTACCATTTTGCATTCCCACTAGCAATGGATGAGTGTTCC